GATCTATTAGTTTAACTTTGGTCTAAAAAGGAATCTAAGCTCTAAGTTAATATTGCTTGTGCATTCGAGAAGAACAAGCCACAGGAATATAAATAAGTGTTCATATATTTATTTATTTATTTTTTGTTAATTTTCACATACATAGTTATTCTAGTTAAAAATTTTTATGATCATGATGCAAAATACAAGGTGGTATCAGTTGTGGCAGCTCGATTTGACACTGCCTTAGTTCAGTAGGATAAGAAGAAAAACGGAAAAAATGAATCCCCATTTGGGGGAAAAATATAAAATTTCATACTTTCTTCTAAACAAAATTTGCTTTTTTATAGTATATTCGTAATGAAATGAAATAAAATAAGATAAAAGACCTTTTTGAGAAAACAAAATGTGTATACTGAGAAAAAATTAAAAAAAATCAACTATATTATTAGGCAAAGAATTTTTAAAGAAGTAACACTGTTTCACCTAAGGCAGTCAATATGGCGGAATTAGAGCGAGAAGTTGCCAACCGATAACACCTTGTATTATTGCATCATGGTTTACGATATGCTTTTATTAATATATATTGTCATGCTTTAATCAAAATTATATAAATCATAGTTTCAAATTGTATACAGAATATATACGAACTGATTAACCTGAGTTTTTAGTACACTTTTGGGTATGCAGTTTTATAGCCCATAAAATTTTATTACATAAAAATCGCGTTGTTTTTTAATACATATCTTTTTTTTTGCTGACAGATCTTTGCACTTCCTTCAATGTAGACATGAATTTTTTACGGAATAAAATGCGCAAGATCGTTTGCAAAAAATATTAAAAAAATCAAAACCAGTTTCTATGAATTCCACTTGTTATATAAAAAAAAACCGTAAAAGCCGTCAGTAAAAAAAAAAAACTTAAAAATCAAAGGGGTTATTTAACCGTTTGAAACTTGCACTTTATTACACACTAAAAGTTTGTGGGCTATAAAACCGAAGACACCAGATTAAAAGATTCGATACTTTGGTGCAAATTTTTTAAATTTTTTATGAAGTCTAAAACTTTGATTTGTATGGTTTTGGTTAAAGCGCGAATAATTAGGGTATTCATACCTGTCTGGTTATCTGGCTATGTGGTAATATTTTCAACTCTGTTTACAAATCCCAAATGCACTAGAGAATAATAATTTATAACCTATACCCCAATTATTTTAATAAAAAAGAAATCTAAAAATTTAAGTTTTAAAAAGGATGTGAATATTAAAAAAAAAACACTTGTTTGAACCACTGTGCGTATGGGAATTTTCCGCTTCGTCAGAGTATTCCAGATCATAATGTCAGACCGAAGGATGGCCCACATTCTTTCAGGTAGTGCCATTGTATCAGTGCCAGAAAGGCGCTTTTATAGATATCTTTTCAGACATCCAAGCGGTCATCAGGGTCCTAACAAATAGGTTGATCACAACCAAGCTCGTCAAGCAGACTTTCTATTACCGAGGGTCTAAACTCAGATCGCAGTAAGTGCTGGGCAGTGGTAGGTCGGCCTTAGAAGTACCATGCACTTTGGTTATCCACATGCCTGACCATGGAGATGGAATTATAAATTCCTCTGTCACGGATAATGTGACCTTTGTTTTGTTTTTTTTTTTTACTAAATTTACTAACTAACCAAGGTAAGAATTTTCTATTTGCTTAGCTATCTGTCTATTTTTTCATCATTTGATTAGTTTAGCCGAGAGTTCGCAAAAAAAGTCCTCATATCGCAAACCTCTGAGTGGAATATCGAGTGGCTATATTTGCATGTGAAATAACGTGGCAACGAATACGAACAAAATATGAGTTTTCCCTTTGTATTTTGCTGGTTAATAAGTATGCATTCACTTATTTTCTACAGATATATTTCATACATACATACTTCCAGATTTGTTTGTTTGCTCGGGAAACAAGTCGATTTGTGTAAACAAAATATAAACACAAATCAAACGTAAAGGAGATCGCAGAAACATGTAGAATACACACATAATCATCTGCTGGAGAAAATCCACTTCAAATAAATAGAATTCTCAGAAAGCGTAAATTTTTCGATTTTAACCAATACAGTGTGATTTTCATTGCAATTCGTTTAAGACTTTTTTTCTAAGCGTGTGTAGATACATACATATGTGTGCAGGTATAATAATATTTAGTATAAATAGAGCAGTATTGAACAGTAACACTCAGCTAGATATTTGTTTACCAGTACATCTATACCCATACTACCTGTGTAAGGGGAAATGGATACACGCACTACTTTCGGGATCTATAAAAATTTCCAAAAATTATTTTATAGGCTCACAATCACACCAATTTAGTACGTACATACACATGTATGTACATATGTAGTGCATTCGAAGCAAAGATGAGTACATTGAATATTTTGATGATATTTCTCATGCGCTCTATTTGCGTAATTAATAATGTTTTGATTTGTTTACACACGCATACATATATACTGTGTTAAGACAATGCCCAACTGCACAAGTTCATTTAAAATTATGTACGCATCGATATGGGTAAATATATCAGGTGCCCCTGGGCCCACACACATATTTTATATGAATATACTTACGTATTACGTATTTAGAAAAGGTGTGATCTTGTTGGCGTAAAATTACAATGCACATGTTTATACGTAAACGGTGATTTAAAGGAAATGATACTATTATGAGGTATACATACATTAGAGTGCCTCACCAAAAAAAAGTTGCGGATTTTCCACCGGAATTACACTATTTATTACATTTTAAGGCGTCCACTAAAATATTTCGCAAAAATATTAAGATTTACGTGAGGAGGTCCGATTTGAACTTGCCTCCAAAAAATCTCAGCAGGATTCCGTTGTTAAAATAATAAAAATATGCAGACCTGTCAAGCTTAAACATTTTTCGCTCGATTTTTAAGCTCGATTTCTGGGAGCTATTTTCATATCAGTCCGATTTTTTTATATGGATGCACACTAATGGTCATATATGTATGTATGTACATATGTAGAAGAAGTCAAAGTGTTTGTTGATTTTTGCCACATTATTTTTAGACGCCAACTTTTCTGGATTTCACGGCAAAAACTATTTGGAAATATGTACAAATGAATGTATATATATACATATATGCGTTGGATTGGATGAAATCGATAATTCTAGTGAAGAAGACAGTTGCAGAAAAGTGAAGTGCAAATGCGTGGAAGAGTGGGCCCTGTGCATAAAGAATGAGATTAAACCTCAAATGCATTTTTTTCTATCGTGTTTACCTGTTACTGGCGAGGACATTCCAGCGAAACTTTAAAGATTAATGTGTAATTATTAAAACTTTACGCAAATTCTTAGCCACATCAAATTTGCATATCATGAATGTGGTATAAAACTGCATAATCCAAATGTTTTTTTTTTTTTTAATTTTGATGAAAGCGTGTTGAATTTTTCCAATTATTGTACAAAGTTTGAAACTTGGAATTGTTTAGATAATTAACAATGTTTTTATATAAAATTGATGAAATAATTTGTTGCGGTATATTTCTAAACTATTTATGTAATAGAGAACTGAATTTTCTACTCACCTGCATTTTTTTTTTTAATTCTACACGATGAGAATTACTATCTTTTTTTAAAATGAAATTCTCTGCTTGAAAAAATTTATTTATTTGCGTCCAAGCATTGGGAAATGACTATGAATCTAATTTGCTGCAAATCGAAAGAAACCAAAATCATGCGCCACATACATATGTATGTATGTATGTAGAAAGGTATGCTGACACACGTTATATTAATTTTAGGAACTTTTCGTTGATCCCGCCAAATTATGTCAGACTCAATAATTGTACTTAAAAATTGACTCAGAAAATTTATTCGCTTTTTATGCATTGGACCCAATGAAATGCTAGCCTGAGCTAGATAAGAATATAAACAAAATGGAAAGTTCAAAATTTCACAGTTTCACGGATTTTGCAATTTATTTTATAAATACATATCTTAAAAACTATTATAGTTACAAAACTGGTTCTGGCCTCGTTTTTATGGTGATGATGGGGGCTATTTACAAACAATCGAAAAATAAAAAAATTACGAAATCCCGAAATTCAAACAATCGTAAAAACAAAAACTTATATGTGTACATTTTTGGCTAAGCTTTTTTATGCAATAACTTTAGCTGATCTTAAAATATCTAGAAGTTTTCAAGAAGGTTTCCTTTTGAAATACGAATTTTTGAACTCTGAAGAAAATGTGTTGCAAACTCTAAATTAGAAATAAATTTTAATTAAACAAACATTTTTTAACATGAGTTTATTCAGAGTTCGCAAATAAAAACCAAAATGCAAAAGTTTAGTTCTAATACAAAAAAAATTAAAATGCCATGATATTTTAAGATCGATTAAAGGTTTTGTATAACAAAATTAGGAAAAGTTTTTTGTAAGTTGTTACTTTCACGATTTTTTGATTTTTTTTTTTTGATTTCATAAATCAGTATTTTTCTTTTAATTTTTATAGACCTTTTCTTTAAATAAACCTTTTTTATATTTTTTTTTTTAACGGGACCAGAACCACTTTTTTAACTACAAAAGCTTTTAAGATATACAAAAAATAAACTTGCGATTTTTCCTTTGGTAGAACTTTTTTTTATATAATTATAACCATTGGTCGATTTGACATGGACTGACCCCTTGATTTTTAAATCTAGGCACATCATAACGAGATTGTCTCGTCAATTTAAAGCCTGATTTCATACCTGTGCTTAAGCATTTTTTGTTTGGCTGCGTATATGATAATAAAAAAAAAATTAAGCATTGCTCCTGTTACATAAGTTGTTAACCTTAAATGTATGTAGTATGCGCCATTAAAAAACGCAACTGATGACTATCAAGTGTCGTAAAACTGTTTATTTACATGAATCGTTAACTATATATAATGTGTATTTATGTATGTAAATAGTAAACTGTTTTAAGTATACATAATAAATAAAACTACGAAATACTCGTATCCCTTGATTTCACCTCAATTGCTTATCGCGCTCACTGTTTTGAGCTGAACTACGCAAAACTTTTTCCAACACCTGCCTTGTAAACTGTCGATCTAAATCCAGATTGTTGTCATCCATTTTAGTATTTAATTCGCCAATTTCAAAATGTTTAATGTTCGTTTCTTTAACCGCCTCATGATTTGGGTTTTCGTTAGCACTTTTCCCACTCATATTGGGCATATCTTGTCGCACGTTTACGTTGCGGTCTCTTGAATACCCAGCACTTACGCCAAAATTGTTACTTTCTGTATCAAACCTATGCACTGGAGGTTGATCAGATTCGTCCTGAGCTTCGGCACTCGCTGGTGCTGCTGCTGCTTGCTCTGCATTGGACTCGAGTATCTTCAGCTTGAGGCTCGGCATACCCAAGTTACCAAAATCTTTTGCACCAGTATCTTTGGATAAGGCAACCTTTAAAGGAGGGGAAGGCGCCAGACTTTTCCAGCCCCACTCTGGCAAATCAGGTATGGAGAAGTCGAGATCGTTGATGTGCAAACCCTTATGCATATTAACTTTCGCACTGACATCCGGATTTTTCACATTAAAACTAGACATTGTCAGATCCCCCAAATCATCGTTCGCACTTATTTCTTTATTAGAAGCTGCCTCTGTATTTTTCGGTGTATTGCCAACAAATGTTTCATCGATCTTAGGTGCCAGTTCTTTTAAGCTGAAGTCTTTTGTAGGCTTGTCCTTGAAGCTGTTATTATCTTGTAGCGCACTTCCCGAATTCTTGCTAAAACTTAACTCTTTTAAATTGAAATCATCTTTCGAGTCCGACTTTTCACTTTTTATGCTATTCGTGTCTTTTTCAGTTGGTTGTTGCTCTGCCAAGCTATGCACAATCTTATTCAGTTCTGCGTCTTTAGAGTTAAAGCTTTTCAAATCGGCAAGTTTGGTGTCATCCACCTGACTGGAGTTATCTTTGGTCATCAGCTTTTTCACATTAAGATTTCCAAAATTAAAATCGTTGAATGGAAATACTTTTAAAGGTGCATCCTTCGCTCCTGCTGCCACATCTTCAAGTACATTGGATTCAATGGACCTTAAAGATGCTTCCTTTCCGCTTAAATTATTGCCCTTCAACGCACTGTGGTCTCTTCTATACAATCCTTTTTCGCCCCTCTCCCAATCTCCATAACTATTTATGCCAGCATATTCCCCATTTAAGTCGTTTACGCTCCAAGTGTTGGAGCCAGTAGTCATATCTCTATGTGGCGCTAAATACTTGACAACGTAATTGGCGTAATCAACGCTAAGGGCTGGTTTTTTGTTGGGTGGCTTCTTTGGGTCTACCGCTTTGGACTTCGTAAACATTGACGACAACTTTTGCTTTAGTCTTGTAAAGAAACCAGGCTTCGACTTCGGCTGAGAGTGCGATTTGGACTTGGCTTTACATTTATGCGCTGGCTTTGATTTGGATTTGGAACCGCCGGTCGATGGCTTTTTAGCGCAGGCATTTGCTATGTTATTCCTGAAGCCATCTGAGTCTTCATCGAATTCCTGGTCCAGCTCCGCATCTGAATTCGGTTGAACATCGTTTGATAAATCTTTAAACAGATTATCTATGGATTCCGGTGCATTTTGTTGCTGACTAGCGTATGTCACAATAGCGTTGTTGAGATTGGCGTGCTCAATAGGGTTCAGAATATCAGTTTTTGTTGCGCTTAAAACGTTTGGTGGTTTGATGTCATTGGTCGTGCTACCTACAGAGGAAGCCGAGGCAGCGCTAGTTTCAGCGCCAACATTTTCAATGCCCTTTTCGCTGAATAAATCCAAATTGGAGTTTTCCTTAGGCTCGTTAACTTTCATTGCACGAAGTTCATTTAGTTTTTCTTCTAACAGATTATCATTGACGGGCGGGAGATAACCACGCTTTCGTAAGTAAGAAATCGGCGATTGCCAACTGTCGCGTAGGTCTGCAAGTAACCCAGGCCAGTCGACAGTATCCATAGCAGCTCCTTCAATTGTCTCCTGATTCTGTGGTTCAGAAGCTTGCGGCTGGTAAATTTGTGCAACAATAAAGAAGTAATAGAAAACCCTGAAAATTTTTGTCACAATTAAACTTTTCACTTTCTTTGAACGGGCGCCGAAGTTGCAACAAATAATACTTACCATTTTGGTAAGAAAATTTGCTGCATTACAGCATTCACGCTTGTAGAATTGTAAAAATATCCAAAATACATAAATAAATAGTGGTTGTTTTGACGCGTTCAACATTTCTTTGAACGAAATTTCAATTTCAAAGTGTCAAAAGGAAAATGGGATTGTGAAAATCACAGCCATGTCTCGATGATACAAAAACTTAAATTGCACTTAATTCAGCTTAAGTACATTAAATTGAGGAAAATTTAAATAACTTAAAATAAGAACCGAAGATCTTTCATACTAAGTGAAAATCTCTCAAGTAGACCACCCAAAATTGGATGGTCAAGATTTTTTCGCACAAATCACTTTATTCGGTTTACAACCATAAAAAAAATATATAATTTGAGCAATTTTGCAAATCTCGAATTTTTGCAAGAGTTATTGTTAATAACTTTTTTTTGATGAATTCAGTAATTATTCATTATCCACTGATTCATAATAATAGTTAATTAGACACGCTTTAGCCTGATTGTTTAAATTTTTCAAATAATCATTATTTTGTATAAATTTTTTAATTTTTCAAATAATGTATTATAGAATAAGAATTGATATTCAATGGAACAGATTAAAAAATCTGATCGCGAAGTAATAAATATTTCCATTTGTTTGTAAAAATCTTATAAAAATTAAAAAATTTATACAAAAAAAAAATATTTCAAAAATTTTAACAATTAGGCTAAAGCGTGTCTAATTAACTATTATTATGAATCAGTTGATAATGAATAATTACTGAATTCATCAAAAAAAGTTAATAACAATAACTGTTATAAAAGTTCGAATTTCGCGAAATTGCTCAAATTATATTTATTTATGGTTGTAAATCGAATAAAGTGATTTGTGCGAAAAAATCTTGACCTATTATTATAAACATGGATGTCTAACGAAACTGGTTCAAATATGATATGTCTCGTAAGTGATCTTTAAGAGGGGTGCCACCTGTTCAAAAAGTTGAAATCAGTTTAATTAACATGTTTAGCGAAATATTTGAATATGGGTATCAAACTAGAGAAGTTTAAAAAGGCTGCATTTCAAACATATTTTTTAGCAAAATCAAATAAAATAAAAAGTTTTTATTTGAGTAAAAAACGCTGTATAAGTTTCAAAACAATTTTGACATAGGATGAAAGTATCTTGTGAATTTAGAATCAATTTAATTGCCGTTTAAATAGAATCCTAGGGATATTATAAATCTGAAAGTCAGTGCGTGTGTGAGTATGTTTGTTGCTCTTTCTTTGGATATAAATTGGCATATAGATATCTTATGACCTGGACTAACTCATATCATATTTTTTGGAAAGGGTTACCATCTGTTTAGAAAGTTAGCTTATGCCGAATTTCCACTAGGCATTGAAATGACAAAAAATTTACGCCATTTAAAAAAAATGTCATGTGGAAATGAACTTAATGATTATTTTTTAATGTAATGACACAATTTTTTTTTAATGCCCGACTTTGTCATTTGTCATTTTTGCCATATTAAATGGACTAGTGACATAAAAATACGATTCTGCTTTCAAATGTTAAAAAATTAATTTGTCAAAAAATTTTCCATGTGAAAACTTTTTTTTCGCAAAGTTGTGTGGTTGTGAAAAAGAAAAGTTGGGTGTTTTTTTTTTCAAAACCATCATCTTGTGGTAAAGAATATCATTGTCTTAAACTCACAATAATTTACCAAATAATTACTTGCTAGGTGTTAATGGAATAGCCTTTAATGGTCGAGAATCGCTTAAAATGATAAAACGAAAAGTGATAAAGTGAAAAAAATTAATTTTTCACTGGCATTGAATTTTTCATTTTCACTTCATAGTTTCATAAAACCAGAATTGGCTTCAGATTTTTTATTTATTTAACTTTGCACTTTGCGAAAAAAATTTGCCAAATTTTAACAAAAGCTGCCAGTAGAATTTCACAACATCTCATTATAATTTGATACTTCATACCACGAAGCGTGTGAAAGATAAACAAGAAAATAAACGTTAGCCTTCAGTAGAGTTTATTCATAAAATTTGTGAATAGTATTTATGTATAATAAATTCCAAATGAATGAAGCATGACTATGGGGGAGCCGCATACGTAATAGCGGCTGGCAATAAGTAGTTAGTAGCTGACAAAATGACCAAGAAAACTTTATAGGTACATATGAAGATACGTATGTACCAGACATCTGCAACTCTATGCCACTTATGTACATATGTAGGTATATACTTATTTGATTTATATATTTAATTTTAATTTATCTTATTTTCATTTGTTTTATTTTCTATCACATTTTTTATAAAAAGTCAACAACAACTAACTGAAAGCAACGAAAAAAATATATAGAACTTATCAAAAAAAGAATGAAATCGAAATAAATGAAAATTCTACTGGCCGTGGGGCTCGAACCCACGGATTCAGCTGGTCGAAATACATGTCGGTACGTACGTCTGGTTAAAAGCACACACCACTTTTCTTGGAAATCTTATTTTAAGTATAAAAACCGTTTTATCGGTTAAAAGAAATGGTAGGAAAGAAGCCATTTCGGGTAAGCATTTCGATCGAACACATAGTGGCCGAGTGTGGCGTTCGCGTGTGCTCGATTTTTAGCGAGGGTGATCAAAAAGGCTCGATCATACTCAAAGCAGCTCTCTGGTATGTACATATAAATATATGTGTATGTACTCGTTTGTAGCAGACTGATATCTATTGAGAAGAGGTGTATTTAGCTTAGCAACAACGCGAGCGTGCCGTGATAACCGTCGCTAACATCTCACAATCTTAACAAAATTTTAAGAGTATCGGAGCTATGTTCCGGGTTATTTCTTTACGAATTTATGAAATAAAATCATATGGAAGGATTGGCACGCACTCGTAAAGAAATTTCCGTACGATTTCTTAAAGCAAATTCTTGAAGTTTTCATCACAGAGCAACATTAATATGACTACATTTAGCCCAGTAAAATTAGCCTTTTTTTTAAATTGTAACAGCAATTTTTTGATGCAGTTTACTTCTATTTGACACGTGGATCATGGATCCACAGTCTTGCCCCTAAATTTCATTTGGCAACATTCCGCTATCTTGGATTTAAGTTTTTTTTGTTTTTTTGCGATTTTCATGCTTATTTTGCATTTTTCGTAAAAAATGATTACATACAAATATGTAGAGACATTATTAACCCACATTTGTTATATAGAAGGTTTTCTAAAAATTCAATTGTTTATTGTAAAAAATTAGCAAAAACTGCGAAAAAGTTTTACATTGTCACGGTTTTTGAAATTTAGGGGCAAGACTGGGGATCCATGATCTACGTGTCAAATAGAAGTAAACTGCATCAAAAAATCGCTGTTACAAATTTTTTATTTTTTTTCCTACCAAATTTATCTAATTTTACTGGGCTAATCGCTATGTATGTTTATCGCGTTCCAGGCCGTGATCTAAGCGTCGTACAAAACAAATGTAGGTACAAAAGTTGTGGAGCATGAAATTCTCTACATCTTTGGAGTTTCAATATGCTATGTACTTTCAACAGAAATTGTCAAAATAAGGCGAAAACCGTAACAATGTAAAATTTTTTCACAGTTTTTGCTAATTTTTTACAATAAAAAATGCTATTTTTAAAGAACCTTCTATATAACAAATATGGGAAATGAAATTCTCTACATATTTGTATTTAACTATTTTTTTACGAAAAATAAGCTTGCAAATCGCAAAAAAACCCAAAAAAAACCTAAATCCAAGATGGCGGAAGGTTGCCAAATTAAATTTAGGGACAAGACTGAGGATCCATGATCTACGTGTCAAATAGAAGTAAACTGCAGTACCAAAGCACCTAGAATTGCGGATAAAAGTGGTGAAAATTTTTGGTAACAAAATTTCCCGGTTACAAAATGTTCGCTAACACGCAGAATAGGACTGTAGTTGGTTCATGAATTAAGGGATTCTCAGGCAAATCGGCTATCCCAGGCATATCGGCAGAGGGTATCAAGAGAGCTCAGAGACGTGCAACGAACAACCGAGTTTTTATCTTCTTTTGAAAGCTCACATGCTAGCAATAGCATATTCGATTAGCAAATGCAATAATTGTATCATTTATCTGTGCTCCCGTACTTAGAAGTATCGAAGGCAATAAGAAAGCTAATGAATTGGCGGAGGAAGGAGTCTTTTCGTTGGTTTGGATCAGATAAATTCATGAGAGAGTCACGTTGGTTTGGCCAAGCAATCTAGGATTTACATAGATAAAACTCATTTCCAACGAGAAGTGCATCAAAATGGCGCCAAAACGCACTAATTTATTTTCTACGCAGCTACGAGGAAGCACTGCAGCCAGCTAACCAAATACTCGTATCTGGCCTCATATCGCCGTTTGGCGCGAAATACCTCGTATCCGCTAAATGCAATGTCAGAAGCGCAGGCGGTAATATCATAGCAACAGATATGACCGCAATAATAGCTTCACCTAAATTGAAACTCAAACATCTGATTAATTCGTTTTTTTTAAGACATGAGAGCGTGAATGATTCTGACCACGTAAACTATTTTCAATGAAGTTAAATTTAGCTCGACGACGTCATCGAGCGTGGCGTGGCCAGCGCGAGCGTCTTTTGTGTGAATAATCTCACGCTCAGGTGAATAAAGGTACAGGGCAATTGTGCAAGTGGGCATACATACACACACTCCCATTCAAATATCTATAGCCGGGCAAGTCTATATGCATATGTATATATTTTACCAAAAATTTACTTACAAAATCACAATTATTGGAAATTGTAGCTCAAATTTTCCAATGAATTGGAAACGAAAAGTCAAAGCAAAAGTGATAGCTACGCATACTTTTTTCACAAATTTGTCTGCTCCATTTTTTGTTCCATTTTGCCCAGAAATGAAATTGGAATAAATAGGAGTAGGCATTCCCGTAACGCTGGTATGCCGATATTGCCAAAATTACAACAACCACCCCCTAAGTGGCAACACCTTGGTGGTAACAAAATACAACAATTGACCAGTGTTGCCGCGGCTGAAAAATAAAATTTACCAAAATCGTACAAAAAATTTACCAAATCCCGTTAAAATTAACGAAATTACTTAAGGGGTCTTAATAAAACGAAAAATGCTGGGACTTACTAGTTGTTTGAATAAAGCCGTAATTAGGCTTTTCTTACCAAGCTTGGTAAATTGGTCATAGATATAAAAAGTAAGCAGTAAGTAAGTAAAGGCAATCTAAGGCTCAATTTTGTTATAGTATAAGGGCTAATTTCAAATGAATATTTAAACAGCACTTAAGTTTAAGTTTGGATTGTTTTTTAGATGCCAACTACCTTTCTTTGGGTTTCGGATCAACTTTATTTAAATATGCCAAACAAGTGGCAACACTGTTGCTTACTCTTTGAAATTGTTGTGGTATTTGTTTGTTTGTTTACATTTTGCACTGAACAGCTGATTGTTCTTTGGCTAGATTGATAAAACAACCTATCTATCAATCTTGATTGTTTGGTACAAACACAGGGTTGCATATCTCATACTCAAATAGCCAATACTGGCCATTTAAATGCAGATCTGAACATGAATCGTTGAAGTTAATCAACAATCTCTACTTAAAGAAGACATCTGAAATTGGGCCTAACAGTTGCTTGATTTGAAAACTATTACCTACACATTCTTTCAGGCTTTCAACATATACTCCTATAATAGTTAGCTGCCCTTTCGCTAGTTTTTTTTGAACGCAGGCATAAAACGAGTTTGGTATCATATTATCCAAATGTGCATGTTGATCTTGTCACGCAAATGAAGGCCCCTATAGTTCTATGTCGCCTACGAACGGCAAATGGTTTTTATGAGAAGCGATTTCAAGTACACTCGGAGGTTTGAAAATGCGACGACCGCGGATCGGGAGTTGCGTAGACCAACATTTCCTGGAACTTTATACGGGATCTGGATGACAGTCTTTCTAAACTAAATTGAAAATTTGATTTAAATGGTAACCTTTTTTACAATGGAGTTTTGAGGAAAATTATCCTTTCTGACTATTTTGATCAAAAACTTTAGCAAAACGAAGAAAAATTTAACATTTTAACAGTGAGAAAAAAAAATAATCAACGGCAACGCTGCAACTGATCCGCTAATTAGATGCCTTGATGGATGGCGGTGAAGGTGGTACCATCTGGTGAATGCCGCTATTCGTATAAATATTAATGAATGCATGACATACAAACATACATACAAATATGTATATATGTAGATATGTATGTATGTACGTGCAAGTTTGAACTCATTCAAGAAACTGCGGTGGTACAAATGTATCCGATTTTTGAACTGTGACGTTTTCAACGCTGGCCAGTGAGTCACGCGCCAACCGGTACTCAGCGGTAGACGATGTGTTACTATGTGCGACTATGTGCTACCAACGAAAAAGTAAAAGAGCAATCGATTGCCAAAAATATTTAAAATAAAACATGAAAAATCTTGCTTTTGATAATTAACCAATAGCGACGCGAATTTTTCGCAATTCATTGAAGGAAATGCCGAGATAAATTACCAATGAGAAAACGTTTTAGCATAACCACTTTTTGCGAAAAGAAAGGTAGTTATGGAAAAATACCATTAAAACTACATACATACATACATACATATACTTAAGGTATGTAGTTACATATGTAGGCATGTATATGCATACCAGTGCACATTAAGTTGGTCCTTATTCGGAAAAATGTCCAGATTCTATGAAATACAAAGTTTTAAGCAAATTGGGAAAAATTTAAATATGGCTCGCAGCGACAGAAATACTGAAAGATTTAGATTTCTTAATTTTATTAACTTTAGTAATAATAATAAAAATAGGTTGGCGCTTCTACAATATGTTAATGTTGGGCCGAGCTTCTCCTCCGATTTGTGGCGTGCGCCTTGAAGTTGTCACACAAGAGGAGGTAGAGTTTTACGCCGTTTCCGAACGGCGACTGTATTTTTATAAGAAATTGTTTTTCATGGCAGAAATACACTCGCGAGGTTTGCCATTGCCTGCGGAGGAGAAAACTTTTTCTTTTCTTTTGTATTTGATGTTAGTCGGAAACTGGGTTCGACCCTGCGGAATGGTAGTGCGCACTTCTAACCACTACACCACAGCGGCCTTAAACTGGAGCTGATGAAGAGAAACCCAGCTCATATTTGGACTAACTAAAATAGCGGGAATATTTGCAATTAACGTGTATAGAGTATAATATTGTGATTTAGATAGAAAGCTAATAAACTGCAAATAATTTATGTAAGAAAAAATAGAAAATATCATAATTTTTACGCATTTAGCCAGCTGTATTGTTTGTAAAATGTTCAGATTTTTTGCAATATTTAGCAAATAAAACAACCATAAGTTTGAATAACTAAAAAAAATAATAAAAATAAAATAATAAAAAAAAAAATATTCCCGGAAAAGTAAAAAAAAACATGTGATTGAATAAATGCTTTCCTGCAATTTTAATTAAACTTGCTTGCCTAATGTCAGAATTTTAGCTAAAAAAAAATTGTGGCTAATAAAAAAAAATTCACCATTAGACCAGTTCTGCTAAACACTGTATTATAAAAGTGAATGATTTGGCAAGTTAGTTCGATTGCATACCTCTTGGTAGTAACAGAAAAGAAAGCTGCAAATAAATAAATTCTCGGTCTCACTTAAGGTTTTCAGCGAAACTCGTCGAATTACTTACCGAGTTAAAACGCAAATCTGAAAGAAAGAAAATAAAATTAAAATATACAATAAATAATATATATGTATGTACACATAAATAAGAATATCGACGTTAAAATTTAAAGTTTTGCAAGGTATATTTTAAGCAGAGTTTTCAAGCAATGAAAAAGTTATGTGAAATAGTTTGAAACTCATTCTCTTCAAGCACATTTTTGCTAAAATTGTAATGCAAGTTTTCGCGTACTCCAAGCTAAGTACAGCAACTTTAAACAAATTAAATTTCACAGTGGTGATGAAAAGTTCTTGTATTCTTTGAGACTTAACACATATGTACAGCTATGCTGAGATTTTGCACCAAAAATCAAAATGGTATTGTTTGCAACTCATGTTTACTTATTTATTTTTAATAATTTTCATTTAAAATATGATACAATCTATAACAGAAACCACATTAACTGAACATTCAAAGCTTGCACAAAATTACCAAAAATTAATAAAACCTCAAAAAATTGTTATAAAAATTTTAAAATTTTCGGGTGTGCAGTTTTGTAGCCCATTCAATTTTAGGCCAATAAGGTGCAAATATTACGGTGCTAAAAATTACCGTTGATTCTTTAGATTTTTTTGTGGAGGGTACCCACTTTTTCCAATAAATATAATTTAAAACTAATTTTGTTGAGTATAGATGGAGGCATGAGTGATTTTTGCTAATTTAATGAACACCCACACTCGCGCATCAATTTTCAGATTTTGCTGACGGCCACACACGACTACGGAGCTGGTGTTTTTAACTTATAAATAAATTAAATGTAACTTTTTAATCTGGTGGCAGCACCCTTAAAAAATGTTTTCGAAATAAAGCTTTTTTTTTAAATCCCGTTCGGATGAAAATCCATACTGTAATAATAATATTTTGGTCCGTTGATTTCGTTTTCTACGAAAATTATAAATTACTTTGGAACCATTTAGAAAAAAAATTGCGCTGAGCATGGAATTAAAGAAAAACCAGGGATTTCCCTCTTTTGACATTTTACACAATTATGACGAATTTTCATAAACATTTACCATGTCATTCTAACTAAATGATTAACTAGTTTACCGAAACCAATTAACAATAGAGCCGACTATACAAAAAGCGCGCTATCCACAATTACTCGCACGAACACCAACGTAATGAACTCAATTAAATTGTTCGACGCTTATTAAAAAGCTGCTAAATTACAATGTATTAAACATAATACATAGCAGTGTTATGTGTTTACACAGTGCTACAAAAAGAAAAAAACATTAAATTCGTCGCCTGGGTAAAAGATTGTCGTAAGTGCAATTTTGACGATCTTTAGTTCCAGATACAGTTATATATTTTGAAATAAGGTCTTTCGAATGGTACTATCAGTCTTTAGATATCTCCTTTATTTTCCGAGATATTGACTACAATTTTTTCGATAATTTAGTAAAAATTTAATTAGTGATGCAGTCATATTAAACTAATTAATGTCTTAAAAATGGCGTTCTTCATTTTTAGATATCTCCTTTAGTTTCCTAAATATTGAGTAAAGATGTCGTTAATTTAGTAAAAATTTTAATCACATTTTGTCGTATTTAATACAAAGTGGCTGCCAAATTGTGGGCAAATGACGCTTACGAAAAAATTTTACTAAAGAAAATCCTTAATTAACTCAAAACTAATTAACAACAAACTTTAAAAATAAAATAATTTAAAAATTTTGTGAACTAGTAACATTTTTAGAGACTTTGGAGAAAATCTATCTTAGCGTTTTAAAGAAATTGCATTCCAAACTTCAATCGCGATTTCCCACAATCTGCCGAAACTAACATACGACAATCTTTTACCCATGCGACGAAATACACCCGAAACAAAACTTAACGTCGAATTTAGGTAGGGTGGAGTACAATATGAAAATAGTTTTTTGACAGTTCCTGAGACCTCTAAAATTATGTATAAAGATCTAGTTATTGTTAAATTTAGATTGTTGGGAATTTTAATTTGGTTGATTTGAAAAAAAAAATCATATTTTTAATTTTTCCAACTTTGACCATGGCTAATTTCGAAAATGTCTATGAAAGTTGTCAAGCATGTCGTATTGCTCTTAAAGCACCTTTATTGCGGAAAAAATTGATGTTCCACTTTTTGAAAGCGGATAAAAATTGTTTAGTATTTTTTAAATAAATACGGCCTTGAATTTTTATGTACTGGATTTTCAGATCTTTCGCATAGTGTGGTTGAAGAATTATTTAATATTCTTTAGAAAAATTTTTTTTTCATACAATTTTTGGATATTGGGAATGGGTGGCCCCTCCCACCTGTATCTAATATGTGTACCTCGTAAGACACTTCAACGAGCTCTACCAAATTTGGTATACCTCCTATATACTATACTGAAAATGTTTGAGTTTTAGAAAATTACCATTACATGGGTGGTTTTTTCCCGATTTTAAAAATTTTCATTTTGGTGCTTAATAAAGTTAATATCCTCTATCCATAAATAATCATTTAAAACCATATTTGGTTTTTAAAATTTGATGAAAAATATTCAATCTAGTACTACTTGATAAGCGCGTCAAGTACGATGATAAGGGGTGTTTTTTTTTATTATAAACAAAAGGGTTGAGGAACAATAACATATATATTTTTATTTTGTGCCCGATCCCATCGGCAATCTACAGCAAGATTTATTTTCTCGAAAGGATTTCGAAGAATTTCCTGCCATGTAACCATGTAAACTTCGTAAACTTACTTAATTTTGTATGGAAAATCGGATTATTTACGAGGTTTACGCGGCTGCGGGGCATTTACGTGTTTCCATGAATACCCATTCCGTGATTGTTTTTGTAGCACTGTGTTATTGGCTCTAACCGGAGCAACGTGACATTTGACTCGTGCTCAGTTAAATATTTTAATTCATTATTATACAAAGCGAGCATTTAAGCGAGTTTCCCACGAATTACTCAATGGCATTGAGCGGATAGACAATGACCGACAGCTGCTAGCTAGTCGACTGCTCATTGCCACCCTTAGAGGTGTTGATGTGACGTAAAAAGCGTGCTTTGTGCGCCAAATTTTTTCATAGATACATGACGCATTCTGATAAGCATATGTACGGTAATTTCTATATTTATGTAGAGGTACTCGCGCATACATAAATAAATATAAAATTTAGATATCTATTAGCACTTATGTACATATGTACATATGTATGTACGTATGTAGTGATGCTTATATTGCTAGCAAAGCCGTCTTCTTTAAAGTAATTGCAAGCGATTATTGCTTTTGCTTAGCAAATACTTAGAAGTTCGAAAAGTAAATACTGTACGCGCAGCTAAAATCACTTAAACAAATAACGGTGAATTACTTGGTTTATAGCGCTAAGCTTGTGAAATGTACTTTTCGACATACATAAGTATTGCTTTCATCGTTGACGCCGTGTGAATCCCCATTCATTTCCAGACATGTACATTAGAGCGGGTCGAACAAAAAACTAAAACAACCTGAAAACTGTTTTGGAGAGCTTCGAGAAACAAACGAAAATTATTTTGGGCCACCCTAAAACCTCCAACGACACTTGTTGTTAAATTTTTTAAACGACAATTTTTTTGAAGCTTTGAAATTTTGAAGAAAAATCAATGCACCAAGAGGGATTTAGAGGAAATTCAATTAAAATACATACCATTTAAACAAATCGAGTCTTAAAAGTTAAAGTTGGACAAAAATATTATTTTGAAGGTCTTACGAGTGTTAAAAAAACAATTTGGTTTGAGCTTTGAAGTAAGTGGTGTATTTTTCAAACTTTTTCTTTCGTATGCGCGTCCCGTCCCAGACTAATGTATATTCTCAAAATACATACTACAATTGCTCGTCCCACATTAAAAGCATACGGACGACGACAGGTGGCAAAAGACGCGCCTCCACCGACGACAATTGCCAACTAAGTGTAATAGTGTGTGAGTGAGCGTCTAGTTAGAAAGTAAATTATGTCATGGGGAAATTTTCTGCTAAACGAACCATATTATGAAACAAGTAATTTTTAAGCAAAAAAAAAAACCGACTTCAATTCACATATAAAAATTTAAGATTATCGTTAATTTCTTCACGATCAAATTATCTGATCTAAACAGAATTAGTATGGGACCACCCCTGAGGTACCAACGTGGTCCAAAGTTTTGCGGTAACATACATTAAAAAATAAATAAAATATTCCGACGAACTGATAACCACCTCCGTTTTGTGAAGTCGGTTAAAAAGTAATTATTTAGCACATTTTTGTATTCACTTGGAAGTACATATTTATGTATTTTCGTGGAAAAGATGTATTATTAAAATTAATACTTTTAAGTAAAATTTAGTTTGTCAAACCATCGCAATGAGTAATTTGTGCTGTGATTGTAATGAACGACATAACTGACATTCCCAGGAAAACGTTTTAACTGTTTAATGTTAATAAGTAATATAAATTTGTATGGTGTTGATATATATACATACATACATATATTCGTAACGTGAATTATTTGTTGTAATCATTTAATAAGGAGCAAAACACTTTTTTTATGGTAATGAAAATTTAAAGACTTCGTACACGCAGAAACTGTAAAATTGTCTATAAGACTGTTTTGTAGGATCGAAGGAGAAAAGCATAGATTCAACCCTTTGCACCTGAGAGCAAGATAATAGTTTGTGCAACATTTTTGAGAACCTTTGTGAAAGCAATAAATATATATGTACACATCAAGGTATTTAATAGAATTTAAGGGAGGTTATAAGATTTCTAGTTTCTTTTAGTAATTATAAATTTTTAGTTTTAGGTCAAATTCTACGCGGAGTTTGCGCTTTAAACAAGTAATGCGTCGTTAATTTGACGAAGTATAACTTTCTAGGGTACTGAGATTTTCAAGTGAATTTTTTTTTTAATATCTATAGCTCTTATCAGAACTGTTTATATTTTTCTTTGTTTATTTCAATATTTTTTTTATGTAATAACATAGTTCATTCTATAACAAAAACCATATGAATCCGTGTTTC